TCAGGACCTTGCACTTGCCAGGCAGGTGCAGTGCCACTGAGCCACATCCCTGGCCCCTGTATTTTTTTCTTTTGAGATAAGTTAAGATAAGTTCACTGGAAGCAAGGAGAGGAATAGTTTCTGAACATGAACTAATAAAGAAAATGATCTGAAAAAATAAAAAAGAAGAAAAATAGCTCCTGGATTTCCATAGGTGTCCTGAGTGGGTCGCCACACACGCCCTCAATCCACAGCTTTTTTTCTTTAGCAGTGGCAAAGTTTATTTGAAAAAGTAAAAGTGAAGAATGAGGGAGAAACTGGCAATGCAGAGTGAGCTTGGGCCGAGAAAAGAGGAAAAACAAAATAAGAGAACATCGTGGAGAAAGCAGGGCAGCCGCTCTGGGGCGTCCTGTAGCAAAGTGGAGCACAGGACTCTTCTCTGCTCCGGGGCCGCCTGGCAAGGTGGCTCTGGGTTTAGAATGACAGCTGGAACCCAGGCTCTCTAACACTGTTACTCGGCACACAGGGTTTAAAGGAACTTGGGACTTGAAAGAAAAACCGGTTATTTTACATTTTAAATTCTTCAAAACTTAGGAACTGAGTAGCGAGGGGCTACAATTCCCTTTAGTAGGGAAGGGATATTATTACTTTCAAGACTGCCTAGCCGGGGATGGTAGCACACACCTGAATTCCAGAACTCGGGAGGCTGAGGCAGGTGGATCGCCGTGAGTTCAAGGCCAGCCTGCACTGCATAGTGAGAGCCTGTCTCAAACAAGAAAAGACTACAACTCCGGGACACAAAGTAACCTGGTGTTACCTATATCAGTATTGCTAAGTTAGTTTATGTTTCTTTTCTTGTAGCCCCATCACACCCCAAACCCAGTAAAGACTAAATTCATAAATTACCTTAGTTGGTAAATGAGAGGGCAGAACCTGATCTTAAGCAAAAGGAACAGACTGAGACTTCAAACAATGTTTTTAGGCAAAATTTGTTAGATCACCCATCTTTAAAAAAAATGGTGGGGCTCATGCCTTTCACCTGTAAAACGGGCCATTCTCTTCCTGTGGGCGATCATCCTTTTCCTGTAGACCAAGATGGAACTTCCTATATGAGGGATTCCCAACACCACACACAACATTCCCAGCTCCAAACTGTAACGCACCTCTGTCTCGAGGGCCTGCACTCTTTCTTTGAGTGTGTACAGTGCTTTTAAATTGCTGCCTCAGCTGGGCATGGTGGCACATGCCTATAATCCCAGCACTCGGAGGCTGAGGCAGGAGGATCTCTGTGTTTGAGGCCAGCCTGGGCTACATAGAGAGTTCAAGGCCAACTTGCACTACAAAGTGAGACCCCGTTTCAAGAAACAAAACAAAACAAAAACTGCTGCCTAGGAAATCTCTGTATGCCTCTTTAAGAAAAAGGTCTGGAAAGAAATATTAAACACCAAATTGTTAACAGCTCCTTCTGAAAGAGAAAGAAAGTGGAATTATGGGTGAGGGAATGTTTACTTTTGAATTTTCATATCATATACCTCCATATTGTTAGAATTTTTACAATGATATTATCATTTCATAATTTGTTTTATCATTTCATAATTTCCCTTTTCTTATCATTTCATAATTTAAAGACTGATGCTAAAATATTTATAGTAAGTTATAAAAGACAAAATGTTTTTTGAGATAGGGTCGCTATGTAGCCCAGGCTGGCCTTGAACTCCTAGTGATCCTCCTGCCTCAGCCTCCTGAGTGCTGCGATTACAGGTGCACACCACCATGTCTGGCTAAAAAAGAGAGAAATTTTAAAGAAAAAAATATATAGTAAGTAAAACCAGGTGCCAGGAACATTTCCCGAGAACCTGTGACTGAGATTCCAGGGCACTGTGGCCAGCAGAGGGGCCGGCTTCCTGGCGGGTGGTCGCGGTGGGTCAGGCGGGGTCCGCCTGGGCCTGGGCTTGCTTTCAGGGGCCGTGAGCTCCCCGCTGTCCCTCTGGCAGGCCTGGTGCACGCCCTCCGGCGGAGAAGTCCATCCACCCGAGGGGATCTCTCTTTTCCCAACCAAAAGTCTCAGGACCGAGAAGCCTTCCCTGTCGGGAGTGCACATTCTCTTCAGTCCTTTTTTTTCTAACGCCTGGGTCGCCAGCTCAACCCCAGCTGTGCCTCCGGCCTCCGTGTAAAGGTTGACGGGAGCGCTGCCTCGGTCACAGGCGCATGGTGGCTCCGACGTCAACCAGCGCTTGCCCGAGTCTGCAAACCTTTGCGCTGCCGGCGGGCGCGGGACCACAGCGCCACCTCGCGGTCCATGTCTGTCAGAACATCTGGCGAATCCGGAGACTTCAGGCCCTGCCCGGTAGCGCTCGGTTAAACTCACAGTTCAAACTGCACATTGTCCTCCCGGCCCTGCCCCACCCCAGTCAGCCTGTCCTTTCTCCACCACCCCAATCTCCTCTTGACAGCTCCTCCTCTTCCCGCTGCACCCCTAAGCGCCACCTCTTCTAAAGTTGCAACCCCTATTCCCTGTCCCCTCTCCTGCTTTAATCTGCTCCAGAGCTCACCGCGAGGACGCCCCGTCCCTGCGGACTTGTCTCGATCTCACCCCATCTGGACCGGCAGGAATAGAGCCAGGGACTGAGTGTCTCCTAGTTGCTGTATCTGCACCCCCTTAAACAGTGTTGCCTTGGAATCGGTGCTCCTTAACTGTTTGTTGATTGGATGAAGACAGAGGCTGAAATGCAGAACACGGAATGCTATCCAGGATGCAACAGATTTCCAAAGGAAATGAACTCCGGGGGGCGGTGGTGCATTCCTATGACCCTGGCACCGAGGAGGCTGAGGCAGGAGGATCACTGTGAGTTTGAGGCCAGCATAGACTGCATAAAGAATTCAAGGCCAGAATGAACTACACAGCATGACCCCATCTGCAAAAACAAGCAAAAAAAAAGAGAAAAAAGGCATTTCCTGAAGACAAGACTGGCTCAAGGGACGAGGGACCGCTGCAGCCACACAGCCATGAGCCCAAAGGACCTGGCACTCAGAAGAGCCTGGCACAGGCTGGTGTCTGTGGCCGCTGTCCTGAAGTCTTTAATAGCTGGATCTCGGAACTTGCATTCTGCAAGGAAACCTGGTGGACAGCGCTGCTTCTGTGGGGTGTAGCACCTTAGCTCACACACAGTCCTCCTTCCTGAACCCCCCAGCCCCTGGGCTCCCCATTTTGCCTCTCAGCAGGCTCCAGGCTAGGTGCCTGGGCCACAGAGCATCTTAGGGCAGGGCATGGCGGCACCGTCCAGTGAGCAGCGGCAAGGGTCACCCAGGACCCTGGCCTAAGACAGAGTCCCTGCCTGGGGGTGTAAGGAGCAGCGGCCAAGGGGGAGAAGATGCCTGGATGGACCTCTCCAGGCCTGGGGTGAGGAAGCAGAATGGACTGAGCCATTACAGGTCCCCAGAGGCCTGAGGCTGGGTGTCTGTCCCTTCTGGCTGGCTGGAGGTACCCCCAGGGACAAGCCACAGAATAGGAATTGTGTAATTCCACACATGAGCTAAATGGTCTGGAATTTGCACTTAAACTGACATTGCACAAGATAAAGATGAACGGTAAGATTCATGCTAATAATTTAAATTTTCTTTTTTTTTGTTTCGGTGTTTCGAAACAGTGTTGCTATGTAGTTCAGCCTTTCCTCAAACTCCTGGCAATCCTGTCTCAGCCTCCAAAGTGCTGGGAAAATAGCCATCTGCCACCATATCTAGCAATTTTTCTTTACTTAGAACATTAAATAGCAAATACCACATTAAGCAGAGAGAGACCTTAGAGGAAATTAAAAAGCTTTAGGCGTAGTTTTGTGGGTTTTTTGGTACAGGGGATCGAACTCAGGACCTTGCACTTGGGAGGCAGGCATGGCGCCACTGAGTTAAATCCCCAACTAGATGTACCTTTAATGGTACTCATTTCCAACTTTCTGAACAAGAGGCCCACATTTTCATTTTGGACTGGGCCTTGCCAGTTATATAGCTGGCCAGGATTTAAACTCAACATTTATGTCAGAATGGTCCCCTTAGGATTCATCTCTGGATACACCATCTCTGGTACTCTCCCATCGCTGATACACAAGCCTGAAACCCACAAGTTAAAAGAGAGGTTTACTTGGGCTCACAGTTTGTAGAGGTTTTAGTCCAAAGTCAGCTGGCTCCAAGGTGGGACGGCATGGTAGAGGAGAAACAGCTCATGGCAGGTCAGCAGGAGGCAGAGAGATCAAGGGAGGAGGAAGATAGACCCTTCCTGGCTATGCCCCCAGGGACCTCCTCCAACCAGGCTCTACCTCCCAACATCACATTCAGCTGTAAACTCATCAGTGGACATAGATGAGTATCCCACCACCAGAATCCAGCACCCCCCAAAGCCTCACCTGAGTGCATGAGGCTTCGGGGAACATCAAATATAAACAACATTCCCTAACGGCCTGGTCATCAGTTGCTGATTGTGTTTGGCTAGCATCATTCTTTTTCTGTTGGTGAAAACTACATTACCAACTCCACGACAGATCTGTACATGTGCAGGACAAAGTTCCTCTTGTTTATTATATACCCGTAATAATTTGGTCTTATTTCATTACACTGAAAGGATAGCACAGAACTGGGTGTGGTGACACATGCCTATAACCCCAGCATTCCGGAACTCTGGAGGATGAAGCAGGAGAATCACTGCAGGTTCAAGGCCAACCTGAACTACATGAGACCCTGTCTCAAAATAAAAAGTCAGGCACACTTGCAATCCCAGGGTTCAGGAGTCTGAGGCAGGATTGCAGAGTTCAAGGCCAACCTGAACTACACAGCAAGATCCTATCTCAAAAGAACAAACAAATGACTATCAAAAATGTCTCCAGACACTGCCAAATGTCCCCTGGGAAGCAAAGTCACCCATTTCAGGGGCACTGGCTTTCATGAATTAGTGAGGGGGGTTAAGGTGCCAGTACAGAGTAGCAGCAGGACACAGCCCTCCAACCAAGAGGCTGCAAATCAAGAGCCAGAAATACAGGAAAACTAAAGAATTCTTTTATTTAGTGGGAAAGGGGTGGGGAAATGACAGCCAGTTTAGACACGATTAAATAGAGTAACAAGGAATAAAAGAGTACAGACAACACAGTGGTGGATTCCCACCACTGTCACAGATTTGCACTGCAGTGGAGTATTTACAAACAAGAGGTCTTGGGGTGACCAATTTATATCTGAAGGACCCTAGTTAGCAAAACAGACTCCATATTGCTGAATGACCCACCTGCCAGCCCTTTAGATGAACTTAGAAGGAGGAAGCTTAGAAACCTCCTCCCCTTAGAAAGTCTTTTAGAAACAACAATTAATCAATTATTGTTTTACAAATGTTCTAACGGCAGGACTTTCCGCTTCTGTACCTTCTGCTTGCTTTGCTAGTTCTATTCCATGGGGGCGCCTAGAAACTGTTGGCCTCAAAGGTGTATAAAACATGTTTGTCTCCCTGCAGTTGGGGCTCAAGTCCGATGCTCGGCTCGGGTCTCGGCCGGTAAAAAACTCCTGCATCGATTTAATATCGGTCTCTGGTTGTTTCTCTCTCACTGGGTGTAACAATATCCAATCTGGTTTTCCAAAGAAGTTCAAGAACATTTAAAACCTCAGATTCTGACTCTAAAGCTGGACATGACAGTTGGAAACACACAACTCAGTCATTTGAAACTTCCCGGGAAGAGCTGCTCCTTTGTGAATATTTTTTCCCTAACATTTCCCCCCCAATATGTAGAATATCGGATCTCATATTCCTAGTAGTAAAAACACACAGGATTAACACCCCAACCAACCCAGAAAGCAACATTCCTTCCATAAAATATTCTTAAAAGAAGAAAAATTTAAATGTGGACATCTGCTACAACAGCTGCCAAAAATAGCAAAAGCAATTCCAAAATATCAAGCTCACTATACAGAAAGGTGAAGCACAGGAACCAGGGGTAGAAAGCCACAGCAGTTAACACCCATCTCTGAAGGACAGCTGCACTAAACGCTGTGCCCGACCCGCGGCCCCCGCGGCTCCCCAGGCGCCCCCGCGGCTCCCTGGCTAGCGCATGCCCAGGATCTGCCTGCTCTTGAGCTGGTAGTTCTTCTCCAGATCCGACAGCGCCTGCGCCCGCAGTTGCACAGCGTGGAGCCTCTTCTTCAGGTCCTTGCACTTGGCCTTGGGAGTGAGCTGACTCTCCGAGTTCTCATTCCTCACCATGTTCTCTTTGCTGTCCCTGTTGAAGTGAACTTTCTTCTTAATTGTTGAGGAGGAAGATGGCAGATCAAGAAGTTCTTTAGGGAGAAAAAGAAAAAGGGTTTTGAGTTACATGGATAGGAGTTCAACTCCTATATCCTTTTTTTCATTGGCACATTTCGGATACACATAATGATCACACGCATCATAGGGAACTTGTATCTGTACACGGTACACCTTGCTTCTTTCTTCCCATTCTCCCTTCCCTTCAATCTCTCTTCCCTTCCTTATTTATAAAAGCTGTTTCCATTTTTTCCCTCTTCTATTCTTTTTTTTCCTCATCTTTCCTTCTCATACTTAGCAAAAATAATCACTCTTTCGGTTCCCATGTGGAATCTAGGTACTAGGGGTGGGGTTGGGATGTGGGACTGGCAGAAATCAATCAGACATTTAGTCTGTACCACTGAAAACAAAGCTCTAGAGTACGCCAAACATCTGGAAACATGTTTTATTCTCTTAACAGCCAACTTTGCTCTTAAAGTTAAATGCACTGAGCACATCACCACAATGCAAGACTTCTGGAAATCAGTTCTATTATCTGTATTCTTTTTTTTTTCCTTGCAGTACTAGGGGTTGAACCCAGGGCCTTTGCACTGTGCTACTGCCAAAGCCCAATTTTTGTCTTTTGTTTTGAGACAGGGCCTTGCTAAGTCCCAAGGTTGTCCAGGCCATGCTCAAATTTGGCAATCCTCCCACCTCAGCCTCCCACAGTGCTGGGATTACAAGCGTGTGCAACCACACCCCACTTTATTCTTGAAAACAAGTATATAGGGCACTTTACTACCAGAGGGCACAGAGGCAGAGGCCCTTTCCCGTGAGCATTTACTTTTGTTCGCTTGCTCATAACACTAGAGACCTGTTTTAAGCAGAGCCTGTGTGATGCCTTGTGGGAGGGTGACTCAGGTAGGAAACGTGGATGGCTCAATTCCATTTTCTCCAGCACATACACCTCTGTTCCTGAGAATCCCTGGGTGCATTTGCGAACCAGCCCTGTCCGCTGCTGGGTGCTTCGACAGCGCATAAGCAGCATCCCTCCCGGGGTGGAGAAGAAAGTCTTACTAGGCAGACTCAGGATGGCCTTGAAGAGGCCTCAGGAGACCCAGGGCTGCCTGCCCAGACAGGGAAGGGACATCTCTGACTCTGAGATTGTGCTGTCCATTCCTGTCCTGCCCTGTGTTTGAGGTGCTCAGTACCTCAAGGCTTAGTCCTCTCACATGACTCAAGCCCAGGGAGACTGGATTCCCACTCCGTTCACAGCGAGATTCCTGTGCCGATCTCTGTCCATCCACTCAAAGCCTGAAGGCGAGGGGAACAGAACTCTGACAGAATGAACCACTACAAGGGTCTTAGAGGAGTCTCTGGGGCTGGAGGCACAAAACCCACACAAAGAAGTATTTCTCCCTGCTTTATTCATCATCCTAAACAGTATTTAAACCTATTTTGTCTTTCTGGATGGCAGTGTGGGATCTAACAAGGGTGAAATGAGTCTTATAAGAATACAGAAACTGGGGGGGGGGGGGTTGCACACCTGTAATCCTAGCACTCAGGAGGCTGAGGCAGGAGAACTGCTGGGAGGCCGAGGGCAGCCTGGGCTACATAGCGAGCTGAAGGTCAGCCTGAAGTACAGAGTGAGATCCTGTCTCAAAAAAACAGGGCAACACTGACATGCATTTTCTCAGACCTGCGACACAGCCCCTCGAAGCTCGCTGACCCTGTACCTGAAGCACTGGCCAGAGACAGCAGCCTCTGCTCCCTCAGCAGCCCGAAGCTCTTGAGCAGCCCCTCGGCTCGGGCCAGCTTGTCCTCAGCCAGCCTCTCCCGCACACACAGCTCACGTTCCTTCTCTAAAGATGAGTGGAAAAAGAAAACAATGAGCAGGCGGTGTGGGCTCTGACACGGTGACCTCGTCACTTTCCTGTCACTTGGCCCGAATGCTGACTGCAGGACAGAGATGTCCCGTGAAAGGGCTCCTTGTGGTCACCTGCTCAACTGGCTCTGCTGGGTTTTATTTACTTATTTTTGGTTTTTTGAGACAGGGTCTCGCTTTGTAGTGCAGGCTGGCCTTGAACTTGTGGTGGTCCTCCTGCCTCAGTCAACAAAGTGCTGGGATTATAGGGCGTGTGGCACCACACCCAGCTACAATGTTTCATTATCAGGAAGTAAAATATCAATGAATACACTGGATGCTTTATAAACACATTTAAATAGACAAAGTTTACTTACTATGGTTTTTGCTTTCTAGAAAAACAGTGAAAGTCCACATTGGGCATAAGGCCACAGAAGCAAAATCAAAGGAGTTGTAAGGGTGGTGGGGGACACACAACCCCTCTGGTCTCTGAATATCACCATGGCGAAAAGTCTTGCTCCTATTTCCACTCTGCACAATCCCCATCCTTGGTATCAGCTCATCCCAGTAGTGTAGACAAGCTTTTCAATGCCAAATGCTGATTAGCATGGAATCAATTACAGACAATCCTCCCTTAGTGACCTAAGACCTGTTGACCACTGTGTGGACGTGCCACAGTCTGTACATATTGTGTGTGGAGCCTCGATGCCCTTTTTATATCGTTCACCTGGTTTACACAGCTGTGGTTTCTGCTGATTGTACGGCACACCACTGTGGTTTCAGGTTCCGGTATACATTACGGCACTGCATGTAAGAGTTGGGACAAATAAAAGCAAAGTCCTCGAGTTGGAGTTTCCTTTGACCATTTCTTTGTTCTGAAAACTGGAAGGTGCATACAATGTGCAGCTCCTCATGTAGTGAGTAGGTTGCAGGAGCAGAGCCAGGTGTTGGAGGAGGAGTGTGCCCGCTCAGCCCCAGGGCACCTTTGCCGGCCACCTGCACACACCACGGACAGCATCTTAGACCTGGCCTGGGCTGCAGATGGGTTTTATGCTGGAAGACAGCACATTTGAACCCCTTCCTGTACACCAGAAACATATCATGTTCAGAATGGGAAAGGAACAAGTCACTGTACATAAAGAGTAACAGCTACTGTGTTGGGGCCAACACACTTTATGCCAATAATATATCCTGGCTGAGATCTGATTCCAGAGAAAGAATTCCAGTGTGAATTGCCAGCTTGTCTACAATGTTTTGGCTTGGCAAGTGTTTATAAGAAGGTTCTAGGCCATGGGGCCGGGGATTTATCGCAGTGGTTCTGCCACCTGCCTGGAAAGCGCAAGGACCTGAGTTCTATCCCCGGTACCAAAAATAAAAAGAAGGCTCTAGGCCAGGCACAGTGGCACACACCCATCATCCCAGCACTCAGGAGGCTGAGGCAGGAGGATTCCTTAGGGTTCAAGGCCAGCCTGGGCTACATGGTGAGTTTGAGACCTGAACTACAGAGCAAGACCCTGTGTCAAAAAAAACAAGAATGAAGGCTCTAAGGAGGACCCGAAGGGCTCCACACCCTCGACTCACGCTCCAGCATGTCCTCCCGCGCCTTGAGGGCCTGCTCACGCTCCTGCAGCTGCAGCTCCTTCCGCCGCAGCTCGCTCAGTGCAGGGCTGGAGTCCTCTGGCTTCTCAGGCTCGCCAGCGCTGGCCCCTCTGCGCCCTCGCCGCTCCAGCTGTCCCCTCTGCTCTTCTGTGACCATGTCAGCTATCAAAGGGTTCTCAAGAATTTCCTCCACAGAGGGCCGGTGGTAATCCTGGGAGACAGACCACAAAACACAATGTGCATCCAAAGACAGAGTTACTCTACAGGGCAAGGACTCCCCCGCTGAGGAGAGGCGCCTCCATGGAGAGGTCGTAAACATCTGGGAAAATAAGTTTACTGGTCATCACCTCAGCCCCTTTTTATTTTGAGTTGCCCAGGCTGGGTTCAAACTTGAGTTCCTCCTGCCTCAGCCTCACAGAGTGCTGGGCTTACAAATGTATGCCACTGATTTTCCCTCTTTCTACTCTTCTCTGGTCTCCAGTTTCTCAATTCAAGCTAAAGGTAGGTAAAAAAAAATCCTTTTGGCCCCTCCCTCGCCACCTGCCACCTGAGGTGGTGAGGACAAAGGGAAGCCGGATCTGGGTCCCTGGCCACAGCCTTCTGTGAGGATGGCAGGGAGTGGCAGGGACTGGCAGGGACATGAACAAGGCACGGAAGGTGAGGCTGGCGAAGATGAGCACCTTCCTTGTGTTAACAGAATATACTTAGCTAAGGAAATGGACTTCATGCTTCTTCAGTCTCTACTGCTCTACAAGAGAACACGGTACGAGCTCCAAAATGTAATTGAGGAGAAAGAGGCGACGGAGAAGCCCATGCCCTTCACCTTTAAATGTAACATCCTCGTAATGAGGTCATTCAGCTCATCAGAGAAACGGTACGGAATCCGCCGGAATTTGCCTTCCCTGATCTTCCCAGCTAGTTCTTTCTGGTTGAAAGCTGTAAATGGAGGCCTGGGGTGAAAGGAAGAGAGAAAGAAAGAATTTTGTAATTGTAAAAATGAAAATATATAACAGGAACTGAACCTAAAGCCCCGATCTGATTTCTGGTTCCCCTTCTGGAATGTTCTTCTGTAGCTAAGTTTCAGTTTCCTGGCCCTGCTGCCATCTTGGGTTGAGCAAGTCTTGCTGCTGAGCTCCGGGTCACTGAAGGCCAGCGGCTCTCTCTAGTTGTGAAACTAACAGAATCTCCAGACACTGCTTCCTCCCCGTCCTGGGGAACCACCTGACCTCAGAAGAGAGGGGAAAGAGGTGGAAGAGAAAAGGGAAAGCCCAGGTTCCTTCCTGTTCTCAGATGCCCGTCCTTCTGGTGGCTTCACTGTCCCTCTGTGACCTCTGAACCCTTCCCTCTACCTTAGCTATAAATTCCCTTGTACACCTGGAGGGGTGAGATGTGATCTGAGGCAAATGAGGCCTCCATCTCCTCGGACTTAGTTTTGAATAAAATCTTTTTTGGGGGCACTGGGGATCAAACTTGGGACCTTGTGCTCACAAGGCAGGTGGCAGAACCACTGAGCTAAATCCCCAACCCCTTTATTGTTTTGTTTTGTTTTTTTGAGACAGGGCCTCACTACATATCTCAGGCTGGCCTTGAACTCACTGTGTGTGTCCCAGGATGGCCTCAAACTTGTGGGAATCCTCCTGCCTCAGCCTCCCAAGTGCTGGGATTATAGGCATGCGTCACCATGCCCAGCTCCATTTTCCTTTTCCCCAAAAATAAATGGCCTCCTTTGGTTTGGTCAGGGGCAAGCAAAAGGCCCCATGCTGCCGGTCACAGTCACACTTACATTAGTGCACACAGTTCATACAGCAAACAACCCAGTGACCAGATGTCTGACTTCTCATTGTAGGACATGTGATTCATTTGTTCCTAGGAGGGCGAAAGGTAAGAAAGCATGAGGTGAGTTTAAGACTTCTAAAGCTTTTAGGGCTGGAGATTTAGCTCAGTTGTGCCGCACCTGCCTGGCAAGCACAAGGTCCTAAATTCAATTCCTGGCACCAAAAAAAAAAAAACTTAAAAAGCTTCAAAAAAATTATACCTAAGATAAAAATGGAATCTCAAAGTTTAGTAATGCTTACTCGAGAAAAAGAAGAAAGAAATTTGTAACAAATCTAGATATTTTATATCGTAACAAAAATTTCAAACACAAAAGGCTAATTCTGCTTATACTGCAATAACAAAAGATGGTACTTTGTAGTTTATCTTCAAATTTATAATTAAACAGCAGGGATGTGACTCAGTGCTAGAGCACGTGCCTAGGATGAGTGAGGGGCCTGGGGTCAATGCCTAGTACTGAAAACACACACACACACACACACACACATATATACAATAGAAAAAGAGCAACAATTTTGCTTCAATATACTTATCATATATAAACTCATCCGCTTATTTTTCAATCACAAATGAAAATGTTGAATGCAGGCTAGATACTGACAATTCAAAGGTGAATCTGAATCTACCCTCAGGACATTCATAATCTAGAAACTCCATTTGATTTTATTGGAGATTTTACTGGGCTAGGTTGCCCAAACTGCTTTCAAATTCCTGGGCTTAAGCAATCTTCTGCTTCAGCCTCCTGAGTAGCTAGGACTACAGGAGCATGTCACCAAATCCAAATAAAAACTTTTTTTTTTTTTGAGACAGAGTCTCACTATGTAGCTTGAGCTGCCCTTGAACTGGTGATGATCCCCCTGCCTCAGCCTCCCTAGTGCTGGGATTACAGGCATGCGGTACCACATCCGGCTATTTTAAAAAGAAAAGAGAGGGCTGGGGATTTAGCTCAGTGGTTCCGGCACCTGCCTCGAAAGCACAAGTTCCTGAGTTCAATCCCCAGTACCAAAAAAAAAAGAGAAAACTCCAGAATAACCCAAATATGCATCTGGGCCATATCTAAATGGATACAAACAGAAACAGCTAGTTAACTGGATTATGATCCACTGTAGGACCTTGGCAGTGGCTGAGATGCTCATTGCCTATGTGAACTCTTTGCCTTTATCCCTCTGCACACCTGCAGCAACTCAGTCTACTGGAGCACTTATTCTCAGAGGGGCCAGGCGAGTACCAAACCCCGCATGGAGTCTGCTTAGAAGCCTGGAGCCCAGCAGGTACGTCTGACCCCACTCCTTGGCAATCAATGCTCAGGAAAACTGAACTCATCTAATTACAAGGGCAGAGGGGAAAAGGAACAAAGAATTGCACAGATTTCAAGTTTTCCAAGAACCACTTATAAATAATTTCCCTTTATGTTAAAGGCTTTCTATTTAGAATTTGATACAGTAGAAAATGACACTGTTCTGGCCATGTCTAATCTTAGGCAAAAATAAATCGTAAATTTGCAAAGTTTTATGCTGTAGTCAGATATGTTGACATGCTTTATAAAGATCTGAAAAATCCTAGAAATGTTTGTGAACTACTAAAAAACAAACTGGGTGGTGGCACAGGCCTGTGATTCCAGCACTCTGCGCGTGGGAGCTGAGGTGGGAGGATTCCAAGTTTGTCCCCAGCCTGAGCAAGACCATCACAAAATAAAAAATTAAAAAGGCTACACAGAAATGACACAAACTAACCCATGTCTCTCCATCTGTATCTGGCCAGATATCACACACTGACACACGAGTGCTGTCCCTCATTGACCATCAGACCAGCACCTCAGGAATATCATGCCGTGATCACATGCCCTACCGAGGTCCCGAGTCACGCAGAACACGTCGAATCAGCCCACTGCAGACAGGCAGGTCTGCGGATGCCCTACCGAGGTCCTGAGTCACTTGGAACATGCCGAATCAGCCTGCGCCCAGCAACAATCCACTGGACACCCCGCCACCCTGCTCCTCTGTACAGCCACCTGGTTCCACACTACAAACATGCAGAGGACACTGGACCACCAGACCACGGTACTGAGTCCCACCGCTCCCGGCCCAGAGGTAGGGGCTTCTGAGCCACCTTCCCACTGCTCCTGGTCCAGAGGAAGGGGCTTCCCGGCCACCATCCCTCCTGCTGCTCCCAGCCCAGAGGAAAGGGCTTTTGGGTCACCATCCCTACTGCTGCTCCCGGCCCCGTCCCATCTCTCCCAGCTCAGAGGAGGTAATCCATGCAGCAGCCAACAGCACACCCACCCCCCAGTCAAAATGAGAAAACACGTAAATAAGTCTCAAAACCAGACTTCCAGATCACCTACAGCAACCCCAAAGGGAAATGAGATGGAACA